AAAAATCTTTATTATCAATTATGTCAATAAAATTAGCAAATCTAGTTTATAATTCAAATTTTGATATTATATAAGCTTTAATTTCTTAATTTAAAAAGGAAATAGCTGAATAAATTGTTAATCTTCACTTCTCTGTGTCATGTGATGCTTCTTTACTCTGAATTCTACATTTTAAATTTTCTTTCTTCCCTTATACGAGTTTCAAAATGTCCTTAAATTACAAAAACCAACTTTAAACATTGACAAGTCAATTTTAAAATAAGAGTCACCAGCATTTTTTACTTTCCGAGATATCAATAAATTTGTTACATTCACCACTAAAACTACTCCCAGGAGTTTATGCTGTTGAAATTACTTATTTATTCATCAACATTACATGTTTATAACCTAAAGAAAGACTATTTTGTGAACTAAATGATTATGACATCTTTATGTTAATTTACTTCAGTATAAGATGCCATTTTTAAAGCAGATTTTACTGAACACAGACTGAAGTTGGTGCTAAGTTAACCCTTTCTGTACAGGTTGGGGTCAGAGTGCATGTCATCATGTTTTGTGGACTTAACCAATATTTTATGAATGTACATTCATAAATTTGAAATCAAACCATAGTTTGTAACTCAAGTTTTAGTATTATGCATTATTTAATTCTTACTTTAAAAGTAAATATAAAAAATGGCTAAATATAGATTTTTTATGTGTCACATAGTACATTGTTTTCTACATTTGCTCAAATTGTATTGTGGGTGTCACAAAATGTAAAGTCTACAGTTTTAACAATTTAGAAACTCATCTACCTTTTCTATTTGCAGAGATATTATATTTAGCAAAACCACCACAATGGCTCTTGCCCAGCGCTTACTCTTAAAAATACTTGTTTATCTATGCCCACTTCTCTCAATTACATGTTTATAATCAATCAAAAGTACTCATTTTGAACAATGTATTTCTATCAGTTTTCCTAAAGTATTTATGTAGACAAAGCCATTATTACCATTGCATAGTTTGAAGAGTGGTGATCAAGGCAATGGGGCAATCCGAAATAAGCTTTTTTTAAACCCAAATACAGCTTAGTTAGAAAGACTGATAAATTACAATGGAATTTTGTAGTATCGGTATAGTAATATATAGTTTTTTGTTATATCAAAGTGCCTATATAAAATCTACAAAATAATTATTTTTTTACATCCTCCACATACAAAATTAAACAAAGTTTAGCAAGTATAATGTGCAAGTACAAAAACTTCATAACAATATAAGCAGTAGAGATCAGTTTTCTATATGTTTTATTTACTGTTCTATGTTTTAAGAAAAATTGCTGATATTTAAGAATTATTTGTAAATATCAATAATAATAATAATATATATATATATATATATACACACACACACACACATGTAATGTATGGTAACCAAAATGTGATTCTATTTTACAAAATACTGGTGTGTTAGTACTAAGAGTAAGAAGAGTAAAACATTTGTACTTTGTAAAGGCCAGTTTTATGCTATTCAATATAGTAACGTGAGCTGTACGCGCACCTCGTGACTTACAACTTATTTGGTGGGATTTTTAGTCAGACACGGTTCAAAGATCAGCTATATAGAAAATTAATAAATATAAATAGATGTATACTGTTACGAGATTTAAGCTACTTAGGATAAACCTTTGCAGTTTCCTGTTACAATTTGAAGTCATTCAAGAATGAAAAATGGTTAATTTAGTTTTTCTTATTTTTCGTGGTGGTTATGAGGTCAGTCAAATAAACCAGCCCCATAGTGAGTTAAGATAGAGAAAATAACAGATAAAATATAGTTTCTCTAAAAAAATGTTTGATAGTTACTTATGAGATTACACAAATGAAATTTGATACTTTTCAGGTGAAGAAAAGTATTTTTAATCTTAAAACCAAAATTACTTTGCATGTTGGATAGTTAACATTCCAAAACAAAATATTAATGAGCAGCTCTTTAACCCTATCGCCCCAGGTTCCCTTTACTGTATATGACACAATATTTAGTGTCTTACATTCAAAATTTTATTAAACTACTTTTTTTACATTATACCAATTAGAATAGCATAAAATCTTAGTTAATAATCCATATTTTAATAGCATACAAGTTTTAAGTTCTTAATTCTACAAGGAAATATTTTAAAAAATCCTGAATTTCCACTTGTGTGACCCATGTGACAAATTTTTTCTTAGCATGTCATGATCCCTATTTTATCCATCACCCCCAAAAATGTACGAAATTAAACGTAAAATACTCTCAATAAAATCGTTATTGCTCAAACAAACCATAATTTTTATAGCCTTCAATTTTATTTGACTACGTAGCTATCAAATAGAAAATCAGATCCCCACCTGTAACATCCTCTTTTTCACAATTCATTTATAGTTCTTTCTTACATTTCATTACATATAATCAATAGAAAGTCAAAGTTTGCATCTATTAAATGACGTATTGTATAACATTGTATTCTGAACATAATATCGTCAATTTCACTCATAGAAGAAAATTCTTTCCCGTGGGAAAGTAAACAACTAGCTTGGATGAATTTGTAATGGCTCTTGTCGTATAGTAAAAAAGCCAGGAAAACTTTGAGAGGTAGGCAAATTTGTCTACTTTTTGCATATTACTAGTCTATATTCTTTGGTGCAATATTTAATTAAATAAAAATTGTTAAGTGCTTTACTATAATCACTAAAAAAATCAGGCTTAACTCTCCTCAGCAATCGATGGCAAGAAAAAAGACAATTGGGTAAGTACTTTATTTCTTGTTTTTCATATTTATTCTTTATATATTATTCTAAAAGTAACTAAAATTAAAAATACGGATCTTTTAAAGTTATTTGAGACTAGTAATAATAATAATAATATATTAAAATGGTTCACGAGATCACACATGCGAGCAGCTCATGGGTAATGTAATTCGATAGCTTAACATGAGCTGCACATTCTCCAAGTGATTTACAACTTATAAAATTTAATTATAAATAAATGTATAATGTTACAAACTTAGAGCTACTTAGGATAAATGTGTGTTACAATTTGGGTGGTTACAAGGTCGGTCGAATTGACCTGACCAAAAAAAAAACATTTGAAATGTATTTAAGAGGTTTTAGGGATTACACAAAGGAAATTTGAGATGAGGAAAAGTATTTTTTTATTTTAACGTGAAAATTACTTTGCACACGGACTATACAAAACAAATACTCAATACATTCATGGACAAAATTTTATTTTATTAGAAATACTTCACTAAGACTTTTTGTATGCGAAAGACTTGTAATATTAACTGAAAGACTGCCAAATTTCGTGAAGATATACCCAATATATATAGAGTTATAAGTATCAAATTTATATCAACTTTAAATGAGTACAAAAGGTCACGTGACCCCGTGTTAGGAGAGTTAATTAACCATTAGTAAAAATCAAAAGTACACAGTGAACCAAACAAATAACTTGTAAGAACATAATGTTTTCCTTATGAATAATATTTACTTTTTAAAACTTATCTAACAGTATCATATGCTGGAGGATTAATAAAATGAAAAATAAAAATTCAAATTCCTACACCAGTTTCTCAAAATTTTAATGTCCGGTGCTGACTAGCAAACCTATTATTACGAGAAAAATGACTTTATACAATGGTAGTAGTGTATAAAGTTACATTTAGCACAAAGTTGAAGCAACAAGTGTAGAGCGGTAGTAAAACAATGATTCCTAACTTGTTTTTCATACTAGACATAATTACCTAAATGTCATTTACTATTGTTCAATAGTTCTTATAATACACTTGTTTTCTTTAAGAGAGAAAAAACAAACTAATTAAAATTACAACTTTGCACACCACATGATCATGCTCTAATCAGCATTACATGGGTTAAAATTAAAGTTAATTCTTTGTGTCCTATAAACAAAATTTATTGGTATATTTCAATTCAATGTGTATATAATATAATTCATATTACATCATACATAAATATAAATAAAAGTAAATTACATAGCTCTTACAACAGATTTCTAATAAATACAAAACTAGGTTTGTGTAGACTAATTAAAATTACTATCTTCAAATGAGAAACAAGAATATTACTCAAATAACATTATACTGTCTTTATAGAAATTAAAAAAAAAAGACAGAGAGAGAGAAAACTGAAAATAAACTATTACCAAACCTTTTCAAAGAAACAAAAAAAATTATCATACCTTTTCCTCTTGGGCCACGATTTCCTTTTTTCACCTTTCCTCTGACACCAAAACCTTTACTGGCAGGTAATGAAATTTCAGTTTCCTATTAACAAAATTAATTCAAAAGAAAAAGTTTTACCACAAATATAATAATGAAAAACAAAAACCTATTGTTATATTAAAATACCACACCCTTAGTTACTCCATACTGTATGAAATTAAAATATAACACCTAATTGGATAAAACCTATGTGAAAGATCAATTCATTAATACAATCCTGGTATTGTTTTAAGGACTGCACTATATAGATAAATTTGCAATCTATTACTTTATCATATGTATATCTGCATATAAATCATTTGCTGCACATTAGATCTATGGATTTAAAATTAAAGCACACACACACACACATATATATATATATATATATACTGTATATATATTAATCAAACTGATTATGACCCCATTCTACTTCTTGAACTGACTTGCATTTTTGATCATTTGAAATATACAGAAAAACAAAATGCTTGAAATATTTCACAATCTGGAAAACTTGTAAAGGTATTTAATATTCAATTCTTAAAAAAATATTTAGTTTTATACAGGAAGTCATGCCTTTATTTACAATTTTTGTTTTCATTTATTCAGTTTGCAAGTTGCTTTTTGGTCTAATTAATTATACATATATAACAGTAAAAACACTGATTTCTACCAACAATGCTCTCAGCTAAGCAATTTATTACCTAACCCTTCCCAAAATAGTGCACACCTTACATGTTTTGAGTACATACTTGCCACATTAAATTTCAAAAGTAAAGTAAAAAATA